TTACCTTATAGTTTTCCTTCACATCCCGGTTTTATTGAATATATTCAACAAACTTATAATCCTAATTATAGAGGTTTTTCAAGAAATACTGTTAAATCTGATGTTTTTGTATATCAAGGTAAACATTGTCAATATCTTCGTTGTGTGTTTAGCATATTAGATTGTAAAGTGTCTATAACTTCGGACATGGGTCGTAGTGTTAATGGACGTGATTATTTAACTGTTACAGCACATTGGATTGATCATAACTGGAATTTGCAAAAAAGAATCTTAAGTTATAAAGAATGTGTAGAGAAAAAAACTGGTGCATATTTAGCTTCAAATATTTTGAGTGTTATAGATTATTACATGCTTATAGATAAAGTAATGTCTGTCGCATTAGATGATGCATCTAATAATGTAAACGCTGCTAGTATGTTAAAAACTAGATTATGTCCAATTGATGATAATTCTTTTCATGTTAGATGTGTTGCACATGTATTAAATTTAGTTGTACAAGATGGTATTTCATTATTTGAATGTGGTTGTATGAAAATTGAATATGCTGTTGCCTGGATTTTTTATGCTAATAGAGTTGCTAGAATTAGGGAATTTAATGAGCGTTGTGTACTATGTGATTTGCCACCAAGAAAAATTCCAAGACATATTAAAACAAGGTGAAATTCTTTTTACGAAATGCTTTCAGTTGCTTACGAATATAGAGGACCCATACAAATGGTGTTTAATGCTCATAATGCTGACCCATTAGACAGAATTTGTGAAGAAGATTGGGAAGAAAGTAATGAACTATTAGAATTTTTAAGACTTTTTTATGATGCAACAACCATGTTTTCTGGAATTTATTATCCTACTATTTCATCAGTATTAATAAATATTTGTGCTATTTCAATTCAATTTTCTAAATACAAAAATATTGAAAAATTTAGAGTTGCAATTGAAGGTATGATTGAAAAATTTTAAAAATATTTTTTTCCTATTCCTCAAATTTTTTTAACTGCTACTTTACTTCATCCTGACTATAAATTACAAGGTGTGCAGGGACTTGTTGACACTTTTTATGATACCTTAGAAATTTCACCGGAAATAAATCCAACTAGTCAAATGTGTAAGTGTAGCATAAAAGTAGAAGCAAAAGTTTTGTATGAAAAATATAGAACTACAGGAAATATTCAAGAAGTTGGTCAAACTTCTAATCCTCAGAGTAAAGCTCGAATTTCAAGTTATATGCGAGATTTTCTTGATCTTAATTCTACTAACCGTGATGATTTTGAAGAATATCTTAATCAATCTTTAGAAACAGTGGAAGACGAAGATGGCAATGAAGATTTATTAGCATGGTGGAGGAGGCGGAGCGTTGCATTTCCAATTTTAAGCAAAATGGTTCGTGATGTTCTAGCTATTCAAGCTTCATCAGTTGCATCAGAGGCTGCTTTTAGTGCGGCAAGGTTTCAACTTGGCGATCATAGACATTCATTGGCGGAAGACAGTTTGGAAATATCAGTTTTATTTAGAGATTGGGTCAACGCCGAAAGGAGAAATGATAATTTGCCAAAGTTAAGTTCCAAACAAGAAGCTTGGATTAATGCAGTACTTGGATCTAGTGATGATGAATTAGAGTCACAAGAGTTTCTAGCAAGTTTGCCAACACCGGAGGATGTTACCGTCGATATGATGCGACAATTAGAATTGAATTTTAAAGGAAAATACAAATATTAGATTACATTAGAGAACTAATTGAAACAGAACCCTTCCTAGAAGGTGGCTGCGTAAATTAGTAACTCATCTAATATTTGTAACAAATATTAGTTTTACATATGAGAACTTATTGAAACAGAACCCTTCCTAGAAGGTGGCTGCGTAGATTAGTTACTCCACTAATATTTGTAAATTGTAACTTCTAAGTTCTAAGTTGCAATTAGATTTTATTGAATAAATTTGAAGGCTTTATTAAGTCTTTTTTATATAACTATTGTCTTGCATTTTAATTTTAATATATTCATACATATTTACATATATACTAATTTGTTTGAAAATAGTTGAACATAATAAAAAGAGAACTAGCTATTACAAAATTTTATAATAAGGAACAAATGTTAAAAAATGGAACTTTAATACATCAACTAACACCTAGATTATTAAAAAAAAATAAAAATAAAAATTCAAAGGATTGCACATAACGTCCTTTTTTGGGGCCTTTTCTTCAAAATCAAAATTTCAAGTTTAAATTACTTTAAAATATTTAAAAGACAAATTTGAACTTCTCAAATTTGTAATTTCAAAATTGAAAATTGAAAATTGAAGTTTGAAATTTGAAAGTTGAATTTGAAATTTGAAATTTGAAAGTTGAATTTGAAATTTGAAGTTTGAAATTGAAATTTGAATTTTGAAATTTGAAAACTTAAGCATTATTTATTAGCTAAAAATGTTATTGAAAAAAAATCAAATAAACTAAAAATGTTATTCAATAACATATAATTTCAATACAAATAAATAAGTATATAAAAAATAAAAAATCCCCCGTCCCGTCCCCCCAAAACCCGTCCCATCCCGTATATATAGTGGGACGGGATGGGACTTAATTCTGTCCCCCCAATCCCGGTCCCCCCAAAATCCCCCCAGAACCGTCCCCCGTCCCGTCCCGTCCCCCTTCGTCCCGTCCCCCAGTCCCCGTCCCCGTCCCCTTGCCAGCCTTAGGCATGCAACACTCTCAATTTTTTTTGTCGACATTCTTGTTGCAAGTAGTTCTCAATTTGTTAAAGTAATAGTCACAATTTTTTTTTCTAAAAGTCACACATTATATTCTACTTTTTTGCTGGACACAAAGTCAGGACAAACAATATCAAATTGTAGTTGAACTACATTCATACAAAGTATACACATCTCAAGTGAACCTTTTGGACATAACCATAAATAACACACATATTGCTCACTAATCTTGTCCAATAAAACTAAGTAATGTAACATTCAGATTGATGATTGGCAGAGGAGTATGTTACAGTAAACCTGATGAGAAAAATAAGAAAATTTGAAATAGTGTAGTGTTTTGTCATACTATTGAACACCGTAGGTGCATCAACATTTAAAAAAGGAGCAGCCAAAATGTTCACCATTAGAGACATGCTCCATTAGTGAGTTTATACATTTTTGAGAACATCGAAAATTAATTGAGATGTATACAAACTTACAGCAAAGGAAGAAGCAACCCAAATTTTTTTTTGGGTTATTATAAACAATGAGAGTACAGTCTCACCAATACAAAGAGCTAAGATAAACACCAAGATAGAGAAATGTAGTAACTTCTAAAATGTTTGATACAGAAAAAACCTGATGAAATTGAGAGCCACAAAAGCAAAAAAGATTGTAATAGAATTATCGGTAGTACACATAATTTGATTATGGACAGAGTCGGATATGAGCAAGTATAATGTTATGCTAAGGAAAAAGTAAAACAAACTCTTACAATCAAATTAGAGAAGATGAAACATAGTTTAAGAGTGTAATTTGTTTTCCAATATTGAAATCGTAGACCAAGAAATCACCAACTTACCCTATGAGAAATGGAGAAATTGGGAAGATATTTTGAATATGAAGTTCCTACGCTTCATCCCTGCAAAATACGACGGATCAAAACAACATCAAATTAAATCTAAATTCAGTGCATGAAACATAACTACAACACAAAAACCGAATAGATCAACAAATTGAATGAAAAATCAAACCATTCGAATAATAAGTGGACAAAATAAGACCTAAAATCAAAACGAAAAAATAAAATCAAAGTACCACTTAAATTTTTGAGACAAAACTTATGAGGATAGTGGGAAAAAACCTAAACATCAACGATTGAAAGAAGAAGGTGGAAGAATGACTAAAGTTTCACCGGACATCCAAGGCCTTCTGTGAAGATGAAGATGCACAATTAGGTCACTCAGTACGAAGTACTTTTTTATTAATAAATGGGATGGAAAAGATGACCAGAATTGAGTACACGTGATTTGCTTACAAAAGTACACGTATTAGCAGATGGGTCCAATATAAATGAAAAATGAGGTGATAACAGTTGTATCCCACATAGCTAGTAAAAAGACAAAAACACATGTCTAGAAAAGGTGCATACACGTCGTGACGTGGTTGTGGGAAATTGCTAGTACAAATACTATTTCCTTGGGTACAACAACATGATGCAGTGTTCGTCCTTTAGAAGTGCCATTTCTAAATAAGGGTAATAGAATAATATATATATATATATATATATATATATATATATATATATATATATATATATATATATATATATATATATATATATATTATAAATCACAATAATTACTAACTTAAAATATTTTAGAAAAAAATATGAAAATTTGGATGACTCTCCAAATTTTATTTGCGTCACATAAATTGAGACAACAAAAATAACATATATTGGGTCCATTTTAATTTATTTGTCTTATTTTTTTTAGTGTTTTTTATATTTAAAAATTGCTTAAAAATACTATAAATCATGATAATTGACAACATAAAATATGTTTTGAAAAAAATACAAAAAATTCCATTGATTCTTGAAGTGAATCTATCGTAAAAATATTATAAATCATGATAATTGACAACATAAAATATTTCAAAAATATTGTATGTGGGTAGTCTTATTATGCCTTAAATAGCATCAAAGAAAGTACATGTTTGTAATAAAAAACTTATTCCTTTATCCACGCAAACAATGCTTGAAAAACTCCGTTATTAGCCCCAAAACATATCATTTATATTATTGTATATAAAGTTTAGTTATGACAAAGATAATATTTTAATATTGTTATGGTAAGTAAAATTAAGATTTTTTCTTAAAACCTTATGTACCTTTTCCGTTTCCTTTATGGATTGGGATTTCTCTACTATTCCTAACAAAACACGGCTAAATCACCAAAGTTTCCTTATTTAAATCCATCTCTCACCTCTATATATTTGCCTCTAAAAATTTGTTTTGTCTATTCCAAACAACAATGGACTCATCAAAACAATATCTGAATCAAGTCATATATTCAATCGACAAAACCTTAGAAATTCTTCATCAGCTTTCTTCTTTCGACGTTGACGTTGCTTCTCATCTGAATAATCTTGTGTTTGAGTTTGATAATATGGCCAAATTAGGAGAAAATTGTCATAGTATTAAAGTGCCAATGGAAGTTCTCAACCTAATTGATAATGGAAAGAATCCAGATGAATTTACTAGGGATCTGTTGAACAATTGTATTGCCAAAAATCAAATTACTAAAGGGAAAGTAGATACATTCAAGGATTTAAGAGGGCATCTATTGGAGGATCTCGAACAACGCTTTTCCTGATGAAGTGGAAGATTACAGACAGAGGCGGATTCAGGATTTTAAAAGATGGCGGATGCCACTATGTTTTTTTATTCTATAATATATGTTTTACTATTGAATAAGAATTATGACGATTTAGTATAAATTTTTAATTTATTCAATTAGGCTTTTTATTCATAAATAGACGAATAAGTTTGAAATTACATGTGTGATTCAATAGTTGGTCTATGCAATACATCATAAGCAAGTGTGTATCACTCACTTTGCCTTTTTTTTCCTAGCAGGTGTTTGATACGCACATTGCATTCGTGCTGGAAAGTTCCCATGTATGCATGCGTATGTTTATTAGATACACTTCTGTCAAATTTAAGTGTTTATTTGGTCATTGACTAACTTTGAGCAACAATCTTATAAATTACGCCAAGTTTAAAGGGCTATCTAGATATTCGGTGTATGTTTTATATGTACCAAGAGAAAAAACATGAAGAAAATGCACAAACAAGATCAAATAGAAACCCATGATTTGGATGATATCATAGATCAAACAGAAAAAGAAGCAGCCTTTAAATTCAAGGACAATGTGAATCATGAAAATTTGCACATAAAGTCTTAATACATTGATAACCTTATTTATATATAATAATACCAATTTCATGGTTATATTAAAGTAACTGAACTTTACCCGATATAGCATTGCTATTACACTTGATTTGAACTATATAAGGAATACATAGTGATCTCCTAAATCAACCTTTTAAAAAATTTGCTTGCTCAGTGACATCTTGAATCAATTGTGTCAAGTTGAGGTAAGAGGAACCCCCTTCCTCCATAGCCCTCTTTGCCTTTTCTCCTAATTCTTTTGCTCTTTTTCTTCTCATTTCAGCTTCCATTTCTTCACTCATTACTTCTTCAATCACCTTCTTAATATCATCTTTGCTCACTTGTTTTCCCAATTTTTCTTCTTCCCCAAACATCACTGGACTCTCCGTGCCAGCTTTCACTCCTGTCTTGACTACATTCACTATTAGCCTCTCATTAATGAACTGTTCAGCAAACATTGGCCAAGTGATCATCGCCACACCAGCAGTTATACCTTCCAGGCTCGAATTCCATCCACAATGAGTCAAGAACGCACCTATTGAAGGGTGTGATAAGATTAGTACTTGTGGCGCCCAACCGTGGATTAAAAGTCCTTGTCCTTTAACTCTTTCCTCAAAATCTTCTTCAACTAGCCAACTTTTTAACTCATCTGTCATGTGTCTAACAACCCAAATAAAGGGTCGTTTCGATGATTCTAACCCGAGCCCTAGCTCTACCATCTGAGACGTGGAAAGGCGCGATAGGCTCCCGAGACAGACAAAGAGTACAGAGTTTAGTTCCCATGAATCAAGCCAGTTTAGGCACTTGTGTTCATCAATTGAAGCCTTGTTACCTCTTTCAGCTTTGTCCTGTTTCTCTTTGTTACAGAGTGAAACAGGGCCAATGGTCCAAACTTTTGTGTTTTTTGCATTCATTAAACCCTTGACGTATTCTTTTTCCAAATCCTCAAAGCTATTCACCACTATCCCATAAGCTTCCTCCTCCGCTTTCTTCATTTGATCAGCGATTTCTTTCCAATCTACATCTCTTGGATTGAGAACATTTGCGATCTGTTTTTTGTTGAGTTCAATCTTATCGAATAATCCAGGCACTTGAAAGTACTCGGTATCAGACTCAATCTTTATTAACTCCTCCCAATTTCTCAAATTGTGTAAGCACAATAAAGTGAAGCAACCCGTCCCGTGAAAAACAATCCTAGGGATGTTAAATTTGTGTGCAGCATTAGTTGTCCATGAGAAACACATATCAGATATTACACAACTTGGTGAAGGTTTCATTTCTTGCAACATTTCTTCCACTTGGGGTTGAAGTCTTCTCGTAGCATCGTAGAATTTCAGCCCCAAATCCATCGATGGAAGCATGTCGAAATTTTCACATCCTTCAGGTAGTCCAGCCTCTACGCTTGGAAAGTAGAGGTGAACCACCTGAATCTTTAGTCCTGTTTCAATTGCATGATCAACGACATTTTTGAATCTATCGGCGTTCGAGCGTGTAGTAAGGATTGTGATTATAACTCCGCGTTGTGCCAGTAATCGCGCGATGTCAATCATAGGGATCATATGGCCTTGTGCCATGAAAGGAAGCAACACAAAATGTGGCTTCATTGTTGGAACATCCATATTTTTAGTAGAAAGATGAGAGGATATATATTTTTGTTATACTAATTAAGGTTGTTATACTGGGTTTAATTATTGCTTTGTAAAGTGATTATGTAACAGTGTGGTTGGCATTATCTTAATGTGTGGTTGGCATTATGAATTTAGATTTGCGAAGATGCTGATTGGATTATCACTGTTGGAAAAGTAATTAAATAGAGCAAATGCCCAAAAATAGTCCATAATTTTTGGGTTAAGAGCACTAATAATTACTCATAGTCGTCCCACAAACTTTTACTTATTTTTTGGCATTGATTTTGTCCACAATTTGATGTAGAGAATGTTCAATCATTTTTTAATATATATTTAGTAGAAATAATAACTCTATGTAAGAGAATGTGAGAAAAAAGACCCTTATTTTGTACAGTAAAAATATTATTACAGTTAAACTAAGAACGTATCTTTGATTGTCGAACTATATCAATTTATTGTTGACATATAACGTTGCAAGAAAAGAAATTGTTGTACCACTGTGATGGCATATGCCAACAATGAATTGATATAGTTCAACAAGTAAATGTAGGTTCATAGTTTAACTGTAATAATATTATCTATTTAACGGAACAAGTTGGTCTATTAGTTATTATTTCATCTAAATATATAAAAAAGACAATTGAGCATTCCATACATAAAAATTTGGACAAAATCAGTATTAAAAAAATAGGCAAAAGTGTAGGAGAGGGCTAAAAGTACGCCAATATTACAAACATAAGGGACTATTAATGCCCCATGTGCAAACCCAAAAATGACTTTAATTAACTCAAAGATAAATGTAGGAATAAAAATGGTCCCATTCTACAAGTTCTTCCAGGAAGTGTATCATTCTTATAAAAGAAAATAAGAACTTAACGCGAATTATTAATCTCATCCTTGAGTTATTGGCACTTTTGAAAACACCACTTTACTTGACTAATTGAACTTAAATGCCCCCTCTCATGCCATACACGTAAACGTGTTATTCATGCGAAATTTTCTACTGATGTAGCATATATATATTGTATGACATAAAATCCAAATCTTAATACATCGGTAGTCCATTAAACTTGTCACAAAATTTTACTCACCAAAACAATATCAATAAAATTATATGTGTCTTATTATAGTAACTGAACTTTTAACATTACTATAAAACTTGATTTGAACTATAAGGAATACATAGTTACCTCCCAATCAACCTTTTAAAAGATTTGCTTGATCTGTGACATCTTGAATCAATTGTGTCAAATTGAGGTAAGAGGAACCCCCTTCCTCCACAGCCCTCTTTGCCTTTTCTCCTAATTCTTTTGCTCTTTTTCTTCTCATTTCACCTTCCATTTCTCCACCCATTACTTCTTCAATCACCTTCTTAATATCATCTTTGCTTACTTGTGTTCCCAATTTTTCTTCTTCTCCAAACATCACTGGATTCTCCGTGCCGGCCTTCACTCCTGTCGCTAGTACATTCACTATTAGCCTCTCATTGCAAAACTGCTCAGCAAACATTGGCCAAGTGATCATCGGCACGCCAGCAGATATACCTTCCAGGCTCGAATTCCATCCACAATGTGTCAAGAATGCACCAACTGAAGGATGAGATAAGATTAGTACTTGTGGCGCCCAACCGTGGATTAAAAGTCCTTGTCCTTCAACTCTTTCCTCAAAATTTTCTTCCACTAGCCATTTCTTGAACTCATCTGACATGTGTCTAACGACCCAAATGAAGGGTCGTTTAGAAGATTCTAACCCGAGCCCTAGCTCAACCATCTGAGACGTGGAAAGACGCGATAGGCTCCCGAGACATACAAAGAGTACAGAGTCTTGTTCCCTAGAATCAAGCCATTTTAGGCACTTGTGTTCATCAATTGCAGCCTTGTTACCTCTTTCAGCTTTGTCCTGTTTCTCTTTGTTGCAGAGTGAAACAGGGCCAATGGTCCAAATTTTCTTGTTTTTCGCATTCATTAAACCCTCGATGTATTCTTTTTCCAAATCCTCAAAGCTATTCACCACTATCCCATAAGCTTCATCCTCCGCTTTCTTCATTTGATCCAAAATCTCCATCATATTTTCATCTGTTGCCCAAAGAATATTCACAAGCTGAGCTTTGTTTAGTTCAATCTTGTCGAATAATCCAGGCACTTGAAAGTACTCTGTATCAGACTCAATCTTTTCATACTCCTCCCAATTTCTCAAATTGAGTAAGCACAACAAAGAGAAGCAACACATCCCATGGAAAACAATCCTAGGCATGTTAAATTTGTGTGCAACATTAGTTGTCCATGGGAAACACATGTCAGATATTACACAACTCGGCCAAGGCTTCAGTTCTTGCAACATTTCTTCCACTTGGGGTTGAAGTCTTCTCGTAGCATCGAAGAATTTCACCCCAAATTCCATCGATGGAAGCATGTCGAAATTTTCACACCCTTCAGGTAGTCCAGCCTCTAAGCATGGAAAGTAGAGATGAACCACCTGAATCTTTAGTCCTGTTTCTATCGCGCGATCAAGGACTTTCTTGAATCTGTTGGCATTCAAGTGTGTAGTAAGGATTGTGATAATAACTCCGCGCTGTGCCAATAGACGCGCAATGTCCATCATAGGTATCATATGTCCTTGTGCCATGAAAGGAAACAACACAAAATGTGGCTGCACTGTGGGAACAGCCATTTTTGTTATATTTCAAGTTATTACACTATGGTTTCTACATTTCTTAATTTATACATTGTAAAGTGATGATGTAAGAGCAAACATAAGCATGTTCAGATTTATCTACTGTGTGGTTAGCATTAT